CAGACATTACAACGGGAACAGGTTAGTGGGAACGACATTTATTATACTAGTAGACGACGAGACAAGAGACCAAGACGAACGAAACGACTACATTGAAGAGTGAGAAAAGAGAAAAAGAGATCAAGTCTAAACGGCAAGATAAAGGGCCTGGGTAGCTATGGCAAATATGGGCGCGCAAGTAGCTACCCAGGCCAACGGAGCAAAAGGAGACAAAAGGTGCGTACGCAAGTGCATGCAGGCCAGCTAGAAAAGGTACGGGAGGAGGTACCTAACAATAGTAAAAAATAAAATAAAATAAAACAATGTTCCCGCTCTCTGTCCTGCTTTAGGTCAGGTTTTCAAGAACACCTATGGCACGCCATGCCGCCTCTTCGTAGCCGATGGGGGCGAAATTCTTTCCCGTAAGGGGACCTGCCAGGGTGACCCCTTTGCAATGGCCATTTACGCTGTTGCTGTTATGCCTCTCACAAACAAACAAGCACCACCCAGCTGTGGTACGCTGATGACGATTCCGCTGCTGGCACCCTTCAAGCCACACCCCTTTCCTGGTCTAAGTTATTGCAGCTGGGACCCTACTATGGGTACCACACCAATCCGGAAAAAAAACAGTTCTTCTGGTGAAGCCATCTCTCAAGCATGCAGCGCAGGAAATATTCGCTGGGACTGGGGTGAGAATTGTTACAGATGGTTGCATTTATCTTGGTGACGCCCTTGGGTCTGAGAGATTCCTGCACACATTTGTATCGGTTAAGGTTGATAAGTGGGTTTGCCAAGTCGAGCACCTTTCCGAACTCGCCACTACTCAACCACATGCTGCGTATACTGTGCTTGTGCACAGCATTATTTTGCGCTGGCGTTATTGCCTTCGGGCCATAACTTGCTCTCCCGACCTATTTAATAGATTGGATGATGCAATTAATAATTCCCAGCTGCTGCAATTGCTGGTGTGTCTCTAAGCAGTGACGATACCCTTCGTCAGCTTATGGGACTTCCATGCCGCCATGTTGGGCTAGGCATCCCCCCAGTTGCACCATTATGTGAGGCTGAGTATTCGCAGTGTACCTCAGCGGTGCGCCCAATAATTGAGGCAGCCGTGCCACAGCTTGCTGCCGATAGCACGCGAACCGCTGCGGGCCGCCCAGATGCAGCTGTGGAGTTGGCTGGGGTCGAATTGGCGGATGAGGAATCGTCCGGAGAGGCAATGGAGTGGAACTCAGTAACTAACATCAACAACGTGAAGGCTATGCCGCCTAATTCTGGGTCGGTGGATATTGTCTCTGCTGACCGGGAGCGCAGTGATGTTTTTTTCCGCTAAATGGGGTTGATGCGTCAGAGATTTGGCTCCCACTGCGTCCGCCGCGTCACACAGTCAACAATGAAACCGCTGATGAGTCTCTCACCTCATCATGGCTTCCGTCTCGGCCACCGTCAGCTTCCATGGGAATGCCGTCACGTTGTTGTTGTATACTTTATTTATAGTGGAAATCAAAACAGGCAAAATGCCTAATAACATTGGACCCACTGTGAATAAAATGTTAAAGGATATTGTGGAAAAGTAGATATAAGAGAAAAAGAGAAAGGAAAGAAAAGGGAGGGTTGGATGCAACGAACAGATATCAATCCAGTGAGCATTGGAAAACCTATGTCGCTGATAATATATACTGCAGGGCTTGAGATTTGAAATCCAAATACCTATTTGAACATTTTGCTGCTGGCGGCAATCTATTCCGCATAATGGCTCCAGCGTGCGTTAGGCGCTTAGCAAAATGAGCAGTGTTAGCAGGTGGGACCACAAGCAAGTTGCTTTGGCCTCCTCGAGTGCGAATTGAGGACACGACAGCAAAAAAGGACTGAAATAGGGTGCTACATGCATCATGCAAACATCGCCAGATGAAACAAAATATAGTCAAGTGCACAGAAACCTGTAGATCACATACATGCATTCGATTTAGAAGGGGAGCAGTACTGGTCCACGGTGGCGACTTGCAGACTGCCCGAGCGGCACGTTTGAACAGCCTATGTAGCCGTTGTTCCTGAGCAACTGTCAAATACGGGTAGTAATTAATAGAAGCATACAAACATTCAGTAGTAGGTGAGTCGGCATGGATATGGCAGCGAGGAAGCATGTCACAGCAGGACAGCAATTTTGCCGGCAACACGACGAGCAACATGGTCCAACATTGTGGTCCAACTCATGTCCGAGACAAAATGCAGGCCAAGTTATTTGGCAGATGTGACTACTGGTAAAACTTGTGAATTGCATACAACATTTATGTCAAGGGCTGTAGCTCTATGGTGTGGTATGGCGAGTATCTGCGTCTTGGTCTCCTGAAGGATCAGTCCACGTTTCTTCAACCAAGTGGCCAGGTATTGAACTGCTGCAGTGAGGCCCTGGGAGACAACTTCTGGCTGTGGACTGCTCGCACGCAGAGAGATGTTATCAGCAAACTGAATAGTGGTGACGTCATGAGGGGCGAGGTCGCGGGCAATATCCCTCGCATACAGAATGAAGAGCAGAGGTCCAAGAACTGACTGTTGAGGAACCACTGACTGGCTGTCATACGTTGTACTTCTGGTTTTTCCTGTCTCCACGCATTGCCGGCGATACATCAAGTACTCTGAAAATCATTGCAAAGCAGTGCTAGTGAGACCCAGTTCGAAGAGGTCCTCAACCAGAATGCTATGCTTTACCTTGTCGAAGGCTTTCGACATGTCGACAAATGCTACTCCTGTGTGCTGCCCGGCGGCTTGTGCTTCGTTGATGTTCTCTACAGCTAGCGCTAAGGCATCTGCTGTGGAATGCTGGTGTCTGTAACCAAACTGACTAGTAGGCAAGAAATTGTTCGTGTTAAGAGAGCATGTCTGAGAATACCAAAGTATGTGTGCAAGTGGATCTCTCCGATTTCGCTCAAAATTTGCAGGTAGATTCCCTTTGGGGTGTGGATCGACTGTGCAAAGCCCTTGAAAAGGTTTCTGAAGAGAACCTTGAAATTTGCATACACCTCAAAATGGCCGAAGTATCACATTATTTATGGGTCTAGAAACGAGTCACGCCACAGCGTATACGAACAAGCTATGAACAAAACTCCATCAAGCCAACATTGCCTCACCTTAGAAGAGTTCCTGGAGCAGTACCGCTTAGCCACGCCAGCATCCCAGAAGACGAGGTCCATCACCCCCTGACGCCACAAATGATCGTCTTGAAAATAGCCAATTTACAAGCGCTGGCAAAACAGCCAGCTACGTCCTCAATTGGCCAGAACTATAACCCGGCAGATAGTAGAACACCTCTTCTAGCGCTGAGGACATGCCCCCCATCTTCCTTTTGGGGTTTTCTTGAAATAAACCTTTTTGAATTTTTCCACTCGACCATGCTGAAATACGGCCAAAGTCATGCCAGCGCAGGAAAGCTCGCCACTCTGCGACGTCAGGCGAAATTACTGGTCAGTCGGCGTCACCCATTTTTCACAAAAATTTGCGTTTCACCTGCTGGGAGAGTATGCGTGTACTCGAGTCTCATCCTGAGCACGTTTTTTTCTTCCTTTTTTCAGCTCCAGTATAGCTGTATTTTTCATTGCAAAGCCGTCCTCGATTGTTGTGTTCGTTGTTCAAACGAAGTGGACATTCAATCATGAAGACAGAGGACATAGGAGCCTGATTGGAGTTTCTCGTGGCATAGGACGGCCACACAGAGACACTTTGGGATTTTCTGAATATAAAATACCGTACGCACGATGCTGAGATCAATTTGTGCGATATCAAATTGTTTGTGATCTACCACATCGAGCAGAACGGGATCCAAACACAAGCTTACCGACGGTAAGGCTGCCGACCTGACTGGACAAATGATCCCTGGCTTCACCAGACGCCAGACGTCGGACACGATGTCCTTTGCCGCGACGTCCATCTCCAAAAAGAACTCCATCTTCGTCGTGAAAAGGCTTGAAATACTCAATATTCAACCGAGATTCGCGGTCTCACCCTTTCTCAGATCGAATCATTTTTTGTTGTAGCAGTTGCAGGGCAGATCCCCCCGCCACTACTTCAACAGAAGATGGCTCCAAAGCATGCTTGGAACAAGCCATATCGAGGTTGCAAGCCACCCCTCTCAGCACATTTTTTGAAGAAATTCGAAATTTCAATGGTGGAAGATATACTATGAAGATAATTTCAAAAAGTATATTTCGCGGAGCGATCGCTCAACCTACGTCATTCAAACTTTGCAGGATGGTTCAGACGTACATGCTAGGCATGGAACCACAGAAGATGATATCATAGCTGACACACAGAGTCACACACACAGCAGATTCGTGTGCACAGATACTAAATTAGTGGACGTCGTCATCTTCTTCCCGCTGATCTCAAATGTACGATGACGTGCTATTTCGCCTGACGACGTCTCCTCAGCAATTTCTACTCCAACACTACTCCCAAGGCCGCAGAACAAAGTGTAGTGTTGATTCTGACAAGGAAAAGCAGCGGTAATCACTTGTCACTCCAAACGACAAGCTTCTCCTTGCGCCACCAATAATTTTTGTGCGACTTTTGATGCAAAAGTGACTGAAGGCATGAGCGCAATTCGTGAATTTCACTACAAGAGGCACGGTGAAATCACGTGCCTTGTGACGCAAGAATGCTAAGTCGCGCGATCGCGTGGATCACCGCTCACGAGATTTCAGAGTAACCTTCGTCAAGTGCGCTTGTTACTCGCCTTGAACGCGGTTGGTCTTGAAGTGATCACACTTGTGTTTTTACTGCGCTCAAGAACACGCTGACCGTGTTGTAGGCCTAGGAACAGGGACTTTCCCTGACCGCGAAGGTCGAAGACCAGTGAAATGATGATGAAATTACATTCTTTATGACGTAAGAAATCTCTCATGCAGTTCACGCGACAAGTTCGTGCAGCCAGTGCTGCTCGCCTGCCAGTCAACACAAAGCGACTGCGCTAGCAGCTTTTGTCGAGCATCGACAAGAAAAAAAGGGAATTTTACTGTTGGACTATGTTCGGGATTGCAGGAGGTAAGTGTGAAAGATGAATAACTCTCCATGCTGTAATGGGGGCATATTGAATGGCTTGCTGCCATTGCCACACTCCAAGGACAGTTTGCGAGGGTTCTCAGTAGATCAAGCAGGAAATACAGCTAATCTTACCCCTGCCATCATGCATGGTCTGTTCCGAGTACCGTTCCAGTCACGTTCGCGATCGATGGCCGCGTGTCGTGATCCAGGAAACGTCATCCTATGTCACAGAGCACGCGATCTCACCGTGCATCTTGCAATAAAATTCAAAAACTGCGCTCAGGACTTCAGTCACTTTTGCATCAACAGTCGCACAAAAAATTATTGGAGGCGCAGGGAGAAGCTTGTCGTTTGGAGTGACAAGTGATCACCGCTGCTTTTTCTTGTCTGAGCCAACAATACACTTTGTTCTGCGGCCTTGGGAGTAGTGTCGGAGTAGAAATTGCTGAGGAGATGTCGCGGAGGGGCGAGCTTTCCTGCGCAGGTATGACTTTGGCCGTATTTCAGCATGGTCGAGTGGAAAAATTCAAAAAGGTTTATTTCAAGAAAACCCCAAAAGGAAGATGGAGGACATGTCCTCAGCGCTAGAAGAGGTGTTCTACTATCTGCCGGTGTATAGTTCTGGCCAATTGAGGACGTAGCTGGCTGTTTTGCCAGCGCTTGTAAATTGGCTATTTTCAAGACGATTATTTGTGGCGTCAGGGGGTGATGGACCTCGTCTTCTGGGATCCTGGCGTGGCTAACCGGTACTGCTCCAGGAACTCTTCTAAGGTGAGGCAATGTTGGCTTGATGGAGTTTTGTTCATAGCTTGTTCGTATACGCTGTGGCGTGACTCGTTTCTAGACCCATAAATACTGTATTGTGATATTTCGGCCATTTCTGAGGGGTATCCAAATTTCAAGGTTCCCTTCAGAAACTTTTTCAAGGGCTTTGCACAATCGATCCACACCCCAAAGGGAACCTACCTGCAAATTTTGAGCGAAATCGGAGAGATCCACTTGCACACATACTTTGGTATTCTCAGACATGCTCTCTTAAAGTGTTAAAACTCAAAAACAAACAGCTGCAAGTTGTAGACAAACACGTTGAACACATCAGGGAACACTTGTCACACTGTCACGAGGTGTGACACCAAACAACTGCAACGATAACACATTCTCCTTCTGCACACATAGTTCTGGATCTAGTTTACCAGTATACAGAGCTTCTAACACAGCAAGATGTACCTTAGACCTTCCACGAGTCAAAATCGAAAACATATCATCACTATACAACTTGCGACAACTAGCACTGTCCGACAAATGACGCTTGATGAACAATGTCCGATCACTTAGATCCGTCACCTTCGACGCCTGTCGTTGTTCTCTTCCACTGGGCTTGTTTGTTTTGTTGCTCCGGTCCACACCTCCAACATCCGTTGATTTCATGGCCGTTTTCAATTCACTTCATGGTCTTCCTCGTTTCCTCTTGTTGATCGTTGTTCCAGTACTCCGGCTCTTCACCTTGCTTCTGGTAACTCTTCCGGTTTCTGTGAGCTCCAGTGTCACATTGGGTGGTTTTCGAGACAGTCTCCCTCGCTTCCTTACGCTAGTCTGAGATGGGCCAAGCTCCCCGCCCGTCGAGGCGGAGGCGCGCATGCGTACATCTACACTGGACGCAGACAAAGGCGTCCCAGTATCGGACTGGACAGCACATTTTGGAGGACGGCCACGATGAGGACGAGTACCACGAGCGTCAACAGGGACAAGACCTAACGGCACATGTTGACGGATGTGTGCGCCCAGGTGTTGAAGGGTTCTACCTACGTACCGATTTCACATTCTCGGCACTGAAAAATAGGTAAGGTTGCTTCTACTAAGGGTAGGTAGAACGTCCTTCTTCACACTGAACGCACGCGTCGTTCCAAGTACGACATACAATTTCACGCTCGGGTTGGTTGTGTTTATTTGAATTCGCAAACCGAACGGACTGAACATGTCCAATGACAGGGGGGAGGGGGGGGGGTAAGATGAACTGACAATGCTGCGCACCTCCTTCACGACTCGCGCAGAACCATCACCCACCCAGGGTAAGGGGTGTACCACGAGGCACCTGTCCGGTCCAAATGGTTTCGGATCCTGCGTGGTTGGTTTGTTATTAATACGTTTTGTTAGTAGTGACGAGGGGTATCCATTGTGTGTCAAAATTGATGTGGGCCGCCTTCAGTAGGACATGACCGTATATTGTGCGTATATGGCGTGTAAAATCATGTTTGTACTCATTGTCGTATGACTAGTCGACTTTTGTTGACTTTTCGTACGACGTGCGCAATCAGTAGGACTTCCTCCCTTTTGGGGTGACCTGTCAAAGCGATTTTTACTTCGTCAACACGGCAACAGCCAAGGTCGGAGAAAAAGTGATCGGTTGATTCTGAAGGATCCGACAGATCTGATTTGGATCTGGATCCGGATCCGACCAAATGATAGCCTAATACTACCAGAATATTGTCTGTCCCAAAAAATGGGAAAGATTGAAACCCTTCTTCATAGTTAAAACCAGATTTAAAATTTCTGGCATTTTGGAGCATTTTGCACAAAAACACATCCCAGCATTTTGCCTCTACTGTTGTATTGTTCTGACTAAATGTCTTTACGGTACTATCAATTTGTCGATTTGGGGGTAAATTTACATACAGTAAAACCTGTAACTAAAGACCACCGTGACTAGCGACCAGCCTGGTGCTACCGACCACTTCGCCATGTACGGAAGGTCTCACATTCAAAATGCACTGCGACTAGCGACTACCTGCTGAACGCGACCGGCGACCGCCTTTTCTTTTCCAAAAGACGATTTTTGACCCGTAACTAGCGACCGCGATGTGGGAAATCAAATGTTGCTCGGAGCTCCTTCTTGAAATTTTGCTGATTTTCCATGGTCCTGAAAGGAATCTTTCGATACTACAGCTGAACAAATGAATGCATGTAATTTTGACTGTGGAGTCGGTGTGGACTTACACTACGCCTATCAAAGTTTCAAGCACGGTCAAGAATAAACATGATAGCAAACGTCTTGGAGAGCACATGGAAAGCGCTCTCTGATCGATTTTACTACTCGGAGGAGGAACGAAGACTGGGCGGCTCTGTCACCCCAGTCATACAGACGGATCGACGATGGCATCAAGGAATCCAGAAACAAAGCAGCACCACAAGGTCCTGATGCTGAAGGATCGCGTTCAAGCAATCGAGGAGTCACAACAAGGACAGTCAGTACGATTGATCGCATGAACATATTTGAAGCCCAGCGCAAAACGAAACTTCCCCAGGGAACGTTGGACTCCTGGCTTCAGAAGTAGCAGCTGAATTTGAAGTCTGCAAAAATTAATCTTCTCTCTCTCTCTCTCTCTCTCTCTCTCTCTGTCTCTATCCATCTCTCCGTCTTTCTCTCGAAGGGTTTTTTGACCTGAAATAAGAATGACATTGCGCAAGCCCTGGGGAATTGCATTAGCTGCATTTTGACATAATGATACATATCATATAATGGGATCCATTATTATGGTCACGCGGTGCAAACCTCTAACTAAAGACCACCTGGTACTAAAGGCCGCTTTTGCTGCCACCAAGGGGTGGTCGGTAATCACAGGTTTTACTGTACTGCTGCCTTCAAGAAAATTGAAACTGCTGTGTGGATTTCCTTTACATTTCATAAAGATGTTCCTTTCATTGATGACAAAATCCATGGAAAGTTTCATGTTTCTGTTGCCACGAGAACATACCTTTTGTGTCGATTATAGAAGCTATTTTTGTCAAAACCACTACCGGAAAAGAAGAAAAAAGGTTTTACCGGGGAGGTTTGAACTCGCGAAGGGGCAAAAAGTAAAAACATTTCATAATATTTCTACTCCAAACCTGAGCAGAAGAATGCTCAGAGGACTAGTTTTCGATTTAGGTACGAGTCACCTTAAAAGAGTCAATACCTGTATCGATCAAACATCACCCGACATGGCCAAATTTCCGATTTCGCTCAAAGTTGGATCTTTTTATCCCTAGGTGGACCTCATTCACCCACTATGATAGTTTGGTCCACAGATTTCGACTAAAATGCACACTGAAACCAGTGGCGTGCACCGAGTCTTGTAAGGGGGGTTTCTAGAGTTGGTAATTTTTTTCTGGAGACCCATTGTATAAGCATGTATTTGTGCACATGCGCATGCGCATCCCCCGAACATCCCGTCGGAGATAACGGCGAGGGCTAGGGAGGAGACTAGGGGGGGGGGGGGGACTCAAGATCAGGGGTGCAGGGCACCAATGAACACTGGTGCTGATGAGATGCGGGGCTCGTCCGACTGCAATCATCAGATCATGCCGGCACAAACGCGTCTGAGAGGGCACCAGGCACAGGGGTAGAAAGGACAGAAATAAGAGTAATGAGGAATGGAGGGAGGGGACGATGTTACATGGAAATGTTGGTAGATCTACATGTACATGTATAACCGGTAGCAGGAAAAAACGGGCACGGGTTACCTTTTACATACCAGCACTTCAAAAAGTATTTGCAAAGACGCGGCAAATTAAAAATGTACTCATATACACTGTACATGTTTGTCACATTGAACCCGTAAAAGTTTTATAGGCCTAGCCGCCCAGGCTACATGAATTGTATACACTACAGTCTATAAGTATAACACTATGTCTATGGTACTTCACTAATCCACTCCATGCAGGCATGTTTGTTTCATCAAAACACTGCTTACATTCGACGTATCTTTCTTTCTGTTCTTATGACGAAGTTTTCGGCATGTATTGGCAATGTTCCACATGAGTTCAATAAAGAGTTATGGACCTTGCTTCGATGGAAGCTCGCGGGAGAAAAGCGAAGCCCCGAGCCCGAAAAAAGGTGGTTTCCAGACACCAAAAAACTCATACGGTGCACGCGCCTGGAAACAGCAAGGTACAATAATGAGGGGTCACTGCTGCTCACAATAATGGAACGCAGCCAAACCCACTATGTTCATACACCGATCCAAGTTATCTAGTAATGTTTAGCCATCCAATTTTCGAACGAATCGATCAATTCAGCCTGTCCAATGGCGGCCATTATTAAGGCCATCTTCAAGGGCTAGTAGCAGCTGGGTTATATAGCTTCTTACACATTCTCCCAGCCGCATATTCAGCATTGCGAATACCACAGTTCCTCCTGTGCTAGTCATTCTGCTGTCTGAGTATTTTCACACGAGACTTACGGCAGAAAAGGACTTGGTTGTGTCATAGCTGTGCGAATGTGGTACTACTGGCTCTGTCCACTGGACACAGAGCAATAGACGCAGCCTGAGGACCTTGGACAACTGTCTAACCATCAAGCATGTGGTTCACATCACAAATCCAAGGTTTTATTTGTATAAATGTTTTCGTTGAACAGATGTGGATGAATGTGACTTGAGGGTTGATGGTTGCACTGGTGTGGCATCGTGTGTTAACACGCTTGGTTCTTTCCGTTGCACATGCCCACCGGGATATAAGGCAAATGGCACTGGCTGTGAAGGTAAATGAAGTTACTGATGGTGGTCTCTGGTGTAAATCTCTCTCAGAACACATAGGATATGAATCTGTCGATGCATTTTGTCTGGAACGAGCTATGAAATTAATGTTCCTCAGCCACAATCTTCCTGAGTGTGCAATCAAGTCATATGGATAGAGAGATCTCCACTGTTGGGACCCGCCTTATTTCAGAGATAGTTTTGAACTTCATGCTCATCTTCACCCATTTGAATAAGGAGGCCAGCTGTCTCGTCATGCGAAATTACTGGTCAGTCGGCGACACGCATTTTTCACAAAAATTTGCGTTTCTCCTGCTGAGAGAGTATGCGTGTACTCGAGTCTCATCCTGAGCACGTTTTTTCTTCTTTTTTTCAGCTCCAGTAGCTAGCTGTATTTTTCATTGCAAAGCCGTCCTCGATTGTTGTGTTCGTTGTTCAAACGAAGTGGACATTCAATCATGAAGGCAGAGGACATAGGAGCCTGATTGGAGTTTCTCGTGGCATAGGACGGCCACACAGAGACACTTTGGGATTTTCTGAATATAAAATACCGTACGCACGATGCTGAGATCAATTTGTGCGATATCAAATTGTTCGTGATCTACCACATCGAGCAGAACGGGATCCAAACACAAGCTTACCGATGGTTAGGCTGCCGACCTGACTGGACAAATGATCCCTGGCTTCACCAGACGCCAGAAGTCGGACACCATGTCCTTTGCCGCGACGCCCATCTTCAAAAAGAACTCCATCTTCGCCGTGAAAAGGCTTTAAATACTCAATATTCTTCCGAGAATCGCGGTCTCACCCTTTCTCAGATCGAATCATTTTTTGTTGTAGCATTTGCAGGGCAGATCTCCGCCACTACTTCAACAGGCGATGGCTCCAAAGCATGCCTGGAACAAGCCATATCGAGGTTCCAAGCCACCCCTCTCAGCAAAAAATTCGAAGAAATTTGAAATCTCAATGGTGGAAGATATGGTATGAAGAGAATTTCAAAAAGTATGTTTCGCGGAGCGATCGCTCAAGCTACGTCATTCAAACCTTGCAGGCCGGATGGTTCAGACGTACATGCTAGGCATGGAACCACAGGCGATGATACCATAGCTGACACACAGAGTAACACACACAGGAGATTCGTGTGCACAGGTACTAAATTAGTGGTCGTCGTCATCTTCTTCCCGCTGATCTCAAATGTACTATGACGTGCTATTTCGCCTGACGTGTGCGGGATAGCACCAGGCATGCCTGTCGACACAACAAACATAATATACCGAACGAGGGAGCTTGGAAGCTCAGGGCCCTACGCTATGCTTTTTTGTCTTGATGACCTAGACAAAAAAAAGCATAGGGATGTTTTAAATTCTTTAAAAAATCCTTTTTTTAATACATAACCTGGGATTCGAACCCGCACTATCGCGCCCTGCATGCATCCCACGATACACTTCGCATACATACTAATTCTTCCAAGTTGCTTCACATCATGATCTTGCATTTGAAAGCCCTATTTGAATATGCATTGTGGCCAGCCGTCTTTGATGGTACGGTACGGTAGGGATAGGTACGGGAAAGGTACGATCGAGGGTAATACGACACCGTCTCCCGTACCGTACCATCAAACACAGCTGGCCACATACAGCTGCCCGCAACATTCAAATAGGGCTTTCAAACGCAAGATCATAACGTGAAGCAACTTGGAAGAATGGGTATGAATGCGAAGTGTATGGGGGAATGCATGTAGGGCGATAGTGCTGGTTCGAATCCCAGGATATGACTGAAAAAATAGGAGAATTGAAAAATTTATAACATTCTTTTGATTTTTTGTCAGGACCGGTGCGAGCACCGAAGCGCATTCTTTCAGGACACGGGGGAGATGCTGTCCGGCCCCGTAGCTTTCGACGCGTCGAGACGGCGCAGGAGGTGGTGAACATTCTGGATGCAGAATTGGACGTGGGTGAGTGGAGGATGTGGGTGAGAAGGCGCTGGGGTTTCAAGGTAGGCACGATGTAGGTCCCTGTCACCCAGGCTGCACTTGCCAGTAAAGAAGTGACCAAAGCAGTCAGCCTTCTCCTTGCTGGTAATGTGTTCCTTCCCGGCATTGTCGAGGAGGAGGGAGATGTCAGAGTTTCGGCCAAGACCGCATGCTCCTTTCAGGTTGCACTACCATGCCTTGTCGCGAAGCGAGCCACAGGTGAGTCGGGCCCGAAGGTGCCGTTCCTTCTCCTGCCTGGAGTGCTGAAGTGTGGTGGTAGAGCGGGTAACAGAGTCGATGAAGGATTGCTTCTTGACGTCATTGCCGAGGTCGTGCCGCCATTTCCTCCATTCTCTGTCCTAGATACGCATCACTTGTGTGCACTCAGGGGTCCACCACTTGGGATCAGATGAGCGGATGACGAGAGTCTTATGGGGAATGAACTGGTCCATGCCTGCAGCGATGGTATTTGTGCCTTGTAAGCAAGACAACTCTGGATCGTCCGTGATAATGGAGGCCCAAGGGACAGCCTTGCGGTGTGCTCTGAGTTGCCCCCCCCCCCCAGTCAGCACGCTCGTAACGCCACACAGTACGCGTTGTGGCCTCTCCCCGGCATGGTGACATGGTCGGGAATTGAGCTATCACAGTTCCATGATCTGAGCGTCCTGAAGGGGCAAGTACAGTGGTGCTGATGGGTTGTTGGAAAGTGGACATGATTTAGTCTAGTGTGTTGGCACCTCGAGTGGGCTCTCGGACATGTTGCGTGAGCTCGTGGGTGATACAAAGATCCTCGAGGGCATCCCCGGCCGAGGTTGACTTCGCGCTACCAAGCCAATCTGCACTATGCACGTTGAAATCCCAAGCGAGGATTACGTTCGGGGACAGCTCTTTCGCCTGATGTAGTGTATCGTCAAGTGAATCGATGAGACAGAGGTCGGTGGGGCTACAGGAGAGTGGACAGTACACAGAGCCGATCACCAAGCTTGTGCCACCACGGAGGCGGACTTTAACCCAGAGTGTTTCATGTTCTGCAGACTGGAGTTGGTCTAGAAGAGCAGAAGCAATGGTGGACTTGATCCAAACAGCAACACCGCCTCCGTGCTCGTTCCGGTCTCTGCAAAATGGGACGCCGTATCCAGGGATGGATGAGTCAAGGCTAGTTTTGGCATCAGAGAATTTAGTTTCAGTGATAATTGCTACATCTATGTCGTGCTGGTTGAGTGCATGCCTCAGGTCGTCCAGCTTGTTACGAGTGTTTGTGTGTGTGTGTGTGTGTGTGTGTGTGTGTGTGTGTGTGTGTGCACGCAGTGGTATGTGCAGCGATTTCCAATCGATAAGTTGCGGGTTCAATTCCCGACGATTATGGTCACACACGTCTTTCTTCTCTTTCTCATACTCCTAGCTCTTCTTTCATTCTCCTGGGTGGTTACCAACAGCCAGTGTATGCCGGAGTATGTGGTGTGGTGTGTGTGTAAAAAACTGGAAAAATGAAAAACAGGGATTCACTGGCCAGAAAAAACCACTTCAATCAGCTGTGTGGTGGATACCAGGCTAGAAAATAGTGGCGGTCAATTCATCAGCCTTGCCAGCTGTTGAATGGTGTAATCCCAGCACAAGTTTCTATGTCTAACATAGCTGTTCGCTATCATCGCTTCCGCGATGGGCATGTCTGAGGTCTGATGTGCGTGTGTGTGTGTGTGTGTGTGTGTGTGTGTGTGTGTGTGTGTGTGTGTGTGTGTGTGTTTACCTGCTTCTGTGCATGTGTGCGTGTGTTTTATTTTGTGGCAGACATCAATGAGTGTCTTGTGCCCTACCCACACTGTGAACATAGAAGGTGCATCAATGAGATTGGAGGCTTTAAATGCTGCCAACTCGGGTATATCGCCAATCGGACAATGCTGAACAGTGCCGGGATTGAAGAATGTACAGGTTAGTACTGTGGATCTTCATGCAGTTTTAATTCTTGGGAGAAACAATACTTCCAGACAGATGAGTTACTTCCGCATGGATTATTTGTATGAACTAAAGGCACATGTGTTTACATCTAGTTTTGAGTTGAGAGAACAATCATCAAGTAGAGAATTAAGTATATATTTGCCAGGGGTGTTCCTCCCCCCCAGCGCTGGGTGACAGTAAGCCCTGACAGACAGAAGAGATAGACTAACGGATGAAGAGTATTACTCCAGCGGAGGACGAAGATCAAATGACAAATTCAGTCTGTCATAGTAAGAACTAGAGGTGAAATGACTGAGTTGATAAGTCGATTGGCCAGTTGATAAGGTTGAGTCGATATAACGAAAACCCCTTATCAACTCGTACATATGAGAAAACGATACATGTGAAGCGGCCTGCTCCCCCATTCCCCGCAACAACACGACGCTCTGACTCATTGGTGTACGGGAGGGATTGTTATTATCTGATACTTGGCGAGAGAACGGGAGAAGAAGACAAGGAAATCACAAACGACTAACAGTTATATCCAGGATAAAAGGCGAACAGATCGAAACGACCAATGAGCCACCAGTACGTACGACACACATGACAAGAACCAAGACAGCAACGCCGTGGACGAATCACACCACTCTTTCACACCTGGACCTTACTCTCACAGCGCATGCTCCACATAGTCTACGCATGCCCCAACAACCAGTAGACAAATGCTCTCAGGCGGATGGAAGCAGATTCCCACACTCAACAACACATACTCCTGCATGCACTACACATACCATTTTTTTTACTAAAACCCATGTGGTGCACACAATGGGAACATGCAGCAGCCAGGGTGGTGGGGGCCAGGCGCGCTGTCGACCAACTAGCCTCGACATCGTCACGCTCTGGACGCACCCGATAAAATTTAATGGAAGTGAGAGGGAAAGAGAAAGAACAGGGGGAGCAGGAGGGGAGGGGTAAGATTGAGAAAGAGAGAGTACATGAGAGCGTGTAGTTCAGCAAGTTCATATCCGTCAAACATCACGCCCTTCACACCACTCCCAATATCTGGCACACACTGCACCACACCCATACGCACAGAAGACCATAATTATATATGACACTGAATTGGACAAAACGGCCAAGCTTGGCCACACCAAAACACGACACATTACTTGAACCATTTCCACCTAATTCTACTATTTTTTCCGCACACACAAATTAGGCTTGTACAAACACTGATTAATGGCTTCCAAAACTTTTAACTGTTGTCCATTACCATGACGACCACGTCACAACACAGTGAAAGAAGTCGGAATATGAATTGCAACAATCAGGACTAGCTAACAGATGATTGTACACTGAAGACTTCCTACTACGAAACCTATGCACAACACCAACACTCTCACCGGCACTCTCACGACCGCTCTCCTCGTCGCTCTCCGCTCATTTGCTCCCTTTGCTGCCTGCATACATCGTCGGGTACTCTCTTTGTTTCTTCTCCTTCAGTTCAAGCATGCCCGAAAAGCAGCAATTTTCTAGGCACCGTCACTGACATAACCAATGTTTTGAAGAGATTGACCTGCAATCCAGGATTGGCCTTGAAGCCGGGTGTACCTGCAATCCAGTACTGCGACGGTCAAGACTACTGGCCATTTTGCGTTGGTAAGTATCTGATATAGTTAACATTCATTGATGGTTTCATTCCACGTAGAGTAACGACGTCATAGAGCAGTGTGTTATATTACTACCACCCCGCATCATTCTATTTCCTATTTCTATTTTTCTCCTCAGCTTCTTCTTCATAAGCTGTTGACGGAGACTCCCTCGATTTAGGCTTAGGCCTGTGGAGAATCCATAAATGCAAAAACAAATACAAATGTGTAGTTCAGCCCAGTGTGTTGTGCAAAACCTACTGTATACGAGAGAGACTGAAGTGGGTGCACAGACTCTGGTAAGTGGATCCACTTTCAATTCTCAAATGGCGAAGTATATTGCTACGCTGAAAGCATTGCAGTTTTGAGTGAGTGGTAAATCGTTGGGGAGCTACTGCTCAGCGTCTAGGGCGATTTACGAAAGCTGTTATTTGTCAACTGCCAACGTCACCAGCAGTAAGTCCTCACCTGCGTCCACTTGAATATAATGTGCATACTATGAAACACTGAAAATTGAGTATGATGTTTTGCAGTACTATTCTCTATTGTCAGAGTGTGTAGTAGTTTGTAAATGTCGTGTTGTATATAGTGTTGAAACGATCTCACCGGATACTCGTTAGCTCGCTCGCCAGAACTCGGCTCGTTTGTGCGGCCAGCTCGTTTGCACTAACGAACACCGTACACCGTACTCCGTACACATGGCAGTACATGTCGCCTGGGGAGTCGTAAACTATTTTTCGACTCCCTGGTCGATCGAGAGTCCAGTCCCGCGCAAAGTGAAAATCACTCGCAGTTACAGGTGACTGTATGCCTGCACGACACTTGAGTTGTTTCAGTTGTCGTTGCAGCTTTGGTGGACTCTACTGATGTCTTGTTCCGCATCTTTTTTTTTTTTTTTTTTTACTACGTTCACATAACCAGCTCGAAAAGAATAAGGAAAGACAATGGTACGGAGACTAGGACAAACGTGGGTACTAATGAGCAGGCGCTGCACCGAGACGCAGCAGTGATGGTGGGGCATTGATGACTCTGCCGACCTGAGGTCTCGGCGTCACGGCCAAAAACACGGACCAAAAACAATGAAAAAAGAAGAAGATAGAGCTGTACAGGTGAGAAAGATGCAAAAACCCAAGGCTTAACACGAGCGATTGTGGGGGAGAAACTGTCTTAGCGTCATACTATTCATAGGGAATCGACTGCCCAGAGCCAATTTGTGCTGCGAAGATGGCGGTAAACATTCGTTTTGAATGATTGCATTCTCTTGCTGAGGGGAGGCTGGGATAGGAGAGCTGCAGGGAGGGAGTTCCAATCGCTGATGCTGCAGTGTGGGAACGAGCGCTTCAGTGCCAGCGGGGCAGATGCAGGCAGCTGGTGTTGGAGCTGGTGGTCATGGCCACTGACAGCACCGTGCTTGCTGCGAGTTCTGGGGTTGGTAGAGATGATGTGGCGCGGTGGCAACACAGAGAGCAGCTGCGGAGGACCAGGCAAGTAGTGCAGCTTGTACAGGCAGGCAAGCGAGGCAACAGTGCGGCGGATGGCCAGGCTGGGTAGGTGTGCCCCAGGGCCGATAGCATGAAGCGCGCGGCGCTGAACATTGTTCAGATGCTGGAGGGGGATCTGCTGACCTGTCGCAGGATATGCTTCGGTCACCTCTCCATTCGAGTGAAAGTTACGCTCAGTCGTTTGGAAGTTTTCTCCCGCGATGCAGCGAAGATCAGGGCTACTTGCAATCTTTGCAAAAAGGTCAATTCTTACAAAGGCTTATCGACGACGGCGCTGAAAAGACATATCGACACCAAACAGCAGTCCGAAGTGAAGCAGCAGCAACCCCAAATGCCGGCGGTGATAATTTGAACCAGCTGAAAAAAATCGAACTTAGAAAAAGAATTATTCCAAAAAATAATATTATTTGCCACATCAATGAAACTCGTTAGCTCGCTCGATAGCTTGCTCGTTAGTGGAACTGATCGCTCGTTTGTTATAGATACGCTCGTTTCAACACTTGTTGTATAGCACCAGTAATTTAAAATATTCCTGCACTACTCGTACCAGTCCTATTGTGATGAATGCATGCACGTGTGCCCATAAGCACATGTGCACAAATCTGAACTGATGTGTTGCCAGAGAATCACACTATCCTTCTACCCTATTCTCTATACCGTACGCGTCTACATGCAATTTGTGCAAGTCGAAAAAGAAGCTGGCTAGAAAAATCAAATTTTCTGTTGTTTTAGAGATTTTTCTCTCAGTGCTGGACAGTAGCGACTTTCACAGGTCAAGGAAGACCAGTCGTTGGCCAAGTACGACAAATTTCCAGGTTCGAACGTCCACCAAACACCAGGTCAAGAAGATAGAGCTCGGCACAGCAAGAAATGCGCTGTGCCCCAAGACCCAACCTGGACAAGAAGAGTTCACTGCGGAAGACGTTAGTCTTCAGTAGTAGCTGCCTTCCGTCTACGTTGCACAGTTTCAGCCTGACAGCTGCGTTTTGTGGCAGCATTGCAAGGAAGTGCTGCTCTACGCACGTGCAAAGACAATCTGAAGGAGATCGTATCGCAAGGAATATTGCAAGGAATTTTCTATCCAAAGTGTTAATTAATCTCTGCATGGTTGGTTGTTGGTTGTTTGGTTGTGTGTTATTTGAATTCGCAAACCGAACGGACTGAACATGTCCAATGACAAGGAAGCGAATGAAGTCCAAGTGACCCAGGAATGGGGGCACAGATGAAAAGAAATATGGGAACAGAAGGCTCCCAGCAAAGGAAGAAGAGAAAAGAAGGAAAGAAAAAGAATAAAGGAGAAAAAGAAGAAAAAGAAGAAAAATTGTGGTCAAGGCGAGAAGAAAGCTTTTAGCAAAAAGAGAAAAGGGGGAGACACATCGTGGTCATGGCCAAAGCCGGAGTAGCAGCAAGACACAGTAGACATAACAACAACAGGAACAAGCACGCATGAAGTATGGGCCATGCCGGCCCAGAAGCGGGAGACACCGACAGGAAGAGAGAAGAGAATAGAAAGTAATCGAAGCATTGCACATCTACACCCCACATCCACACACCCACACATCCACCTCCACACCCACACCCACACCCACACACACATACATGTACATAACCACACCTACACACACACATACCGGTACACATGGACTCCATGCCCTGCTCACCAAGAAGGGACAAGCCCATGCCGAAGTGATCCATACAGGACACATGCTCCTCGATAAGGTGCAATTTAGGCGTTATAATTGCCCGGCTTCCTGGCGACGATTTCCTGACGACAAGTGGCGAGTAAATTTCTAATGTGGTCGACCAATGTGCCCTTTGTGCTGTTGGAAATAGGGGTTGTTGTGGAGAAGATCGCTCTGCAAGCTGCGTACTCAGAAAGCAGACGATGGTACCTCACATGCTGGGATTTAGCTGTTTGTGCAATATTGGCAAGCTCAGCTTCAGCTGCTGGTGTGTTGAGGGTTGAAGACTTCGGTTGTTTACAACCTGCACTGGAGCAGACGTCAACTCTTTGAGCACCTTTGCGTCAAGAGCACGGTGGATGTGGTTGCCCACAAAGGCACCAGCATGGTAGGCTTGCCTTTTGATATTGTTCAGGAGGTCGCTCGTGTCACTGACATGCACTCTCGTTTTGTGTTACATGAAGCTTTGACTTTCGTTAGGGTTCACACTTTTAAGTCACAGGCTTTGTCTTCACCTTCTTTCGCGCCTGCTGATGGAGTTCTTGGCATGCAAGTGTTATAAGCTGGACGTTTTCACTGCAGTTGTCAGTTGTCTATAATAGACTATAGTGCTTACGAGTTCGGTGAAAGGCTTCAAGCAATTGCGGCTTGGAGCAAGAGTTTTCTAACAGAGTTCTCTTGATAGTCGCGAGCTGGTCCTTTGTGTGGTTTTGGTGTGTGTCGAGGCAGGAGCACGCCTCAACAGAACATATTGGTAGCGGAGGATGGTCGAGTCAACCTCGTAAGTGCTGAACGTTCCACCTAAGCGCAGCTATGGAGTCTCCAGTCGAAGAGGACAAGGAGAAAGACAGCCAAGCCGCGGAGGACGGAACCGCCAGCACCGAAGAAGCAAACCACCGAGATGAACCAGCGGCAGTAGAGAACAAGCGCGAGAAGCTTAGCGAGCTGCTTAGAGAAAAAATGGTAGCTAAAAAATACTTCACCAACGCGCGGCAGACACTTCTCGTGCGCTCCATGAATGGCGGAGTGCGAGGAGAGCAAGCTAATGACGAGCTAGCCGAGCTAAGCTCACATTATGACAACGCCACCAGTGCTATCATGAACCTCATCAGTCTGTACAGCTCAACCAACGAAGAGAAGTGCATGGAAGTAACGCTGCGGGAAGCGGAATTGCTCGAGGAACGATTCACCACCGCAACCGAGAGCATGTTGGAGGACGAATGTGGGCAGGTACGTAGTTACGCGGAGGGAAATGACTACCTGGGCGTCTCACAGCGGCCCCACCCAGTCCAGGCTCGACTCGAACTAGCTTCGGAGGTCGGGTACGTGTACAGCAGATCTGCCGCAAGCACTATGCCCAGTTGGTCTGGTGCCCGGAGCTACCTGCACGAGCACGGCAGAAGTTCAGTTGAGGCCTCGGAGTCTACTGCTGCACGTGGACTAGCGTACGACTACGGCTACCATGGCTACACGTACGAGCCGACGAGTCGATCAGCCGGCGTAGGGCAAGTTGCAGACGAGCACTGGGAAACGGAGTACGGTCTTGCTGAAGTCAGTGAAGACAATTTCAAGGCGGTCAGCGAAAGCGGACCGAAATGGGCACGGATGAGTTGCGACCAGAGACGCCGTTGGTCCACAGAGCGCTCACTCCGTCTCAGACCCAGGTCAGCGCTAGCAGAGCGGCAAGAGGCTCGCCTTTGTCCATGGCTGTGGCGCAGGTTGGAGGGATCGGCGCGCCAGCTGCTGCCGCTTTAGAGTCTGGCGCCACCGGGCACTTGGACAGCTCGAACAGAGCGACAAGCGGTCCGCCTTTGTCCGCGGCTGTT